TGCTGTACAGTTGACGTCAAAAATCTTTAAAGGTGATATTCTTGATCAGCTCGACGTGCTCTATCCAACCATGTATAACTCGACCAGATTCATTTTATCACTAACCTTTTGAATTTCCGGCACCTTAGTTCTATAACGAATTTTTTTCAATCAATAGCCAATGGACTTTTCTACAATATTGTCAGCAAACATTTTCACGTAAAGAGTGGAGCGAGCTTAGCTGAGTTTTCGACAACTTTAAATTGTTTCGGAATGACTGTTTCATTTTGGGTGATTCCGTAACAGTTTGTATTTTTCTTATAAAACTCGAACCATACATTCACACTTGAGCGAAATTTTAGAGAGTATCGAGCACGTGATTAGACAGATTTGATAAGAATTTAAGCATCTTATCTTTTAAACTGACTAAGAAATTACAGTCAGAAGACTCGGAAACTGGTTCCGTTACAATTATTTTAGCCGATATACAAAAATTTGTAACATAGTCTTGTTGTATATAACCCTATTAGATGCTTTTCATTCCTTGTAGTGCACAAAATAAGAGACTTTTTCCCATTAGTCTATCAATTATATTGACCACGTAAAAATTTTATGTCTCAAATGCGTTTTTTCCAGTTTCTAGAAAAAACGCGTCTGAACGCATTCAAACGCAGCGTTCACATAGGTGACTGAGAGAAAATAGATTGAATAAAAACTGTTTTTTTCCCCAAAGGAACAAAGATAGATAGAACCTTTGTTTCTTCACCATCTCAAGTTGATGTTTACACATATTGCTGGATTATGTTATTTTTAACAGTTTTCTTCAGTTAACTGTATTTCTCATAAATCTTATTAATTACCTCTAAAAGCTCTGCGAAATCTCGATAAGACCTCAATATGAAATACTTAAAATCTTGTCGCGAGTGTTAATGCATTATATTTGAAAGGCAATAGCAGTAAGTTTTATGCAATCTCGGTTCAGTAGGTTAATTAAGAAAGAGCCGAGTCACTTATGAATAGTTCTGACATCTTGAAAGAATACGTACCTAACGTCGAGTTCGTCAGATGCGCAAGTCACACACATACACCTTCCGATTTTCATATATATAGTGCCTAAAATTGATTTCATGTGAGTTGAAGATCAGACTTCCACATTTCTATTATACAATGTTTAAAAAAATACACCTAGCACATTCCTTTAAATTGCATAAAAAAATTCTAGTTAGAAAAGATGTTTGATGTATCTTTGAATGGACATTGGCAGAAGCTCGTTCTAAAGCAAACCATATCACCAAATCGAAAAATTAAAAACTTGTTCCATCAAAGTCGATCGAAGATTCGTCTTCTTCATAGTGATTTATCTGATATACGAGAACTTTTCGATCGGGGTACTTTAGAAAAACGTTTTGTCATGGTCTGGCTCAGAAATGTTTCAAAAAGTTAATCTATAACGATGAAACGATGTCTTCGATCTAGCGATATGCTATTTTGCTCTTAATCGAATTCCTGTTACATCAGAGAGACAGAAAAAAAGTCGCGAAAACAAATAATTGAGTAACAAAAAACTTGTAACTTACATGCGTTTTGTATATTCTTTTGTAAACAAAAATATTTGATCATTTATAAGGCATCGGAAATTCAAAATGTAAACACCGTTTTCTTTTCGTTTAAATTATACATAGTTGAAAAGAGCACGTCGAACCGAGCAAGAAAAAGTTAGTTGTAGCTTTTCGAAGCATTATTTTAAGTTCAAGAAATTTAAAAAAACTTGAAGGATCAGAATTTTCGACACACACTTCATTTTTAAAAAGATTTAAATTTTTTTCTTGATCATTCTAGATACTTTTTCTTGTTAATAGTTGTAGCCAAATTTGTATCTCTTCTTATTTGTTGGATGACGAGCTTCAAAAGTACATATCGATTTTATTTTGCTTCGTCGATAAGCAATTTCACTTCTATTAAAAGATGACTTGCCGATTTTGGGCAGAAATGTCAAAATTTTAATAAAAGTGAAATTGCTTATCGACGAAGCAAAATAAAATCGATATATACTTTTGAAGCTCGTCATCCAACAAATAAGAAGAGATACAAATTTTGGCTACAACTATTAACAAGAAAAAGTAGATAAGTGTTTAGAAAATGACCTAGTATCATTTGAGTGGGTTTAATTTCAGCTGTCAGACCCAAAAGTCTAATCCTTTCGTAGTCAATTAAACAACATTTTTAGAATTAGGTTTTGATGCTAAATCAGTAAAAATTAGTTTGAACACTTGAAAAGAATGATCAAGAAAAAATTTAAATCTTTTTAAAAATGAAGTGTGTGTCGAAAATTCTGATCCTTCAAGTTTTTTAAATTTCTTGAACTTAAAATAATGCTTCGAAAAGCTACAACTAACTTTTTCTTGCTCGGTTCGATGCGCTCTTTTCAACTATGTATAATTTAAACGAAAAGAAAACGGTGTTTACATTTTGAATTTCCGATACTTTACAGCCAAAACAGAAAACTATTAAATAAATTACAGTGTATTATAAACACATGAGCTCTCTCTCCATTAAACTAAAAACTAAACTGTTTTTAAAACAAACAAAGAGAAGAAAATAAGCGGTAGATCGTTTTATGTTCTCACAGAATCATTTTTTTAAAAGAATACGGTTAAAAATTCTAGGTCTCTTAAAGAGTGAACGATGGTTGTATTGGTTAGGAAGAAATTATTATTTTTAGCATTTAATATGGTGTATCAAATTTTCTATGAAAATTAATCGGAGTACCCGGTTCATCGTGTTCGCTTTCTTCACTTAGCAATGGTTTTCGTCGTAAGGTGCGATCGGCAACCGATGCTACTAAAGCAGCACCTTTTCCACTACCTAAATATATGTGATTACACTTTAGTAAGAGTAGAGGAGAACAATCATGAAAGAAACTGACCATCATCAGATAACGCCAATTTGAACTAAAATAAAAATAAAAAAATAAAAATAAAAATAATATACATACACGAGAAAAGCATCAATCGTTAACAAAAGATTTTATTCTATTCGTTCTATCACCGTAAAATTCTCTTTGACAAAAATATGAAATCATTTAGAATTAAACGCATTTAAATAAATTTTGTTTTTACAATCGCTCTTTTCGTTAAAGAAAAGCTCAAGCTTTGGAAACTTGAACTAACTCTTACTACGCGCGTAGTCTTCGAGACTGTCTTTCTGTAACTTTTCTCTCAATACAGTTGAGAATATATACGTCAGACGTCATCAAAGTAATTCGATGATGTGACCAGTTCAATTTTTCAAAGCTTGACTTTTTTAGTAACGAAAAAGCGGTTGTAAAACAAAACGCGTATAGTTTCTATACTTTGAGTACTAAAAAAGATGTTTCCTATTATAATAAGAGAGGACTGCAGTAAAATGAAAACTTCATTTTATGACCAAATGAACACAATAGTCTACTTTCAGCTGTTTCTAAAAGATATTCGATAAAGCCTACTCTAATTATATGGTGATGAAATATATATCTCTTTAATTGTCATAAGAAATTAAACGGAAATATTATGATTATAATCAGAAATAAAATTTAACCTTAATATGTTTATTAACAAGTGCGTGCATGCACTTTTCCATATTTCGTTTGAAACGCGGATGATATCTATATAACGATCCATCTACACCGACTGTAACATTCGGTCGATTAATTCGATTTATTAAAACCGCCATACCTGAAATAAAACTGTTAAATTAGCGAGACATACGGATGATAGATGATCTACTCTGTCTACCAGCTCCCGCTAATCGAGCGGCGCGTTTTGATACATGTCGACTAATATGTTGCACGATTGCACAATCATCGTATGTTGGATTTCTAATACCAATATCTTCTAAAACTCGTCGAGTATTACTAAAACCAATTCCTAAAAATAAATTACGTGATAATTCAAAAAATGAAACTTTTTGAAATGAAATAACAACAAACCTTCATCTGTTTCGACGGTTGATACAAATTTTGTGTAAAATCCTCCTCGAGAAAACAGCGGCGCTTTGTAACCAGAATAGCCTTCTCTATGTCCCAAAAATAGTAAATCTTGTTGCATTAAATCTAACATAATTAAACGAACAATTTCACCCATATACATTCCACTAATCATCTTTTCAAATCTAAGTATATAAAAACAGATTATTGGAAAAAAAATTATAACATGGAAAAAATTTACATTTGTTTTCCTGGATTCAAACTTGATAAATCGACTTCTTCATCATATTTTGTTCGTATATGATTTAATTTATTATTATCACCAAATGCGCCCCACTCCATGTTAATAATGACCTATACAAATGTCAAATATTTTTCTAATGTTTTATGCATGAATGCAAATCTTTCTTACTTGCTTTGGTTCGGAATGATCACCATCCCATGTACCAACTTTGTTTAATTGTTCCATATAACAAGCATTCGTTCCCGTACCTATACTGCACAATTTATAATCACATTTTTATTGGTATTAAAATAAAACACTTACCCAGAATTAGACCAATTGCTGTATGTGGATCTTTGTAAGCACTATTGTTTGAAGAATATGTTTATAGTGATATATTGAGCTAGTAAATGGATCTCTTACCAAGCCATTAATGTTCCAACGGTATCGTTAACAAGTGCTACGCATTGAACATTGATATTCTAATATAAAATTAAGTAGCAAAGACATGATAAGACTCGTATTCTGAGCCAAACGTACTTTTTCATCCAATGCTCGTTGAAGCATTTTAACAACATCTTCATTGACAACACCGGCACAAGTGAAACCTTTCGTCCAGGATGTCAAACGAGCTGATGCAAGACCTTGAGAATAAAACATTTTTTTTGAAAATTGGAGTTATTGTGTGTAAACTGTAACAAACTTATTACCTTCTTGTTTGCATGGAAATGAGAATGTGAAACCTAAAAGAAAGCAACCCTTTTAGACTAGATAAGTCTTATAGCTAAGTGAACTAGACAGCTTACCTAATGGATAACGCACACTTGTTCTAACTAAATTTTCTTTTTTCATGAAGTCTAATAAACAATCTGCCAAATGACGAAATAACTAGAAAGAGTAAAAATTTCCTGTTCATATAATACTATTCTCAATGATCATCATTAATACTGACATAACTAACAAGGTGTCAGTTATTCAGTTACATCAGTTTTTCGCCATGCAAAGGAGAACACCTGGAGGCATGTTTCCACAACCAGAATTTTATTTCCAGAAGAGTTTTCTGAAACAGGCTTTTTAGGTGATCTTTGGAAAATCAGGTCGTGTGTAAAAATTTTCCAATATGATTAAGTGGATTTTTTTCATGGGCTGATAGCTCAGGATGTGAAAATGGGAGTCAAACGAGATCTAGATTTTCTACGGCTCTGGCGTTGTATCGAATTTCCTACGAGTCCGAGAACTGATACCTGGTGACTATTGCTAGCCTTGAAAGCCAATGGACTATAGGTAATCGATCATGCTGAGTCTCGTAACAATATTTGTTTTATATTGAAAAATTTTTAAAAATCTACCGAAAAGCCAGTTTTACGAAAATTTGGTTTTTCAGATTGTTTTCACCTAATATTAAAAAATTCACTATTCACTCAAAAAACATCAGAACAAGCTCAAAACCGCTAGAATATAATTAATACTGCCCGCTAAACGTGATTATAAGATCCAAAAAATCGAAAAGGATATTTTTGTTAACAGATTTTCCTGAAGCCTTTCCAACAGAAGCCTGTTTCAGAAAAATCTCCCGGAAATAAAATTCTGCTTGTGGAAACATGCCTCCAAGTATTTTCCTTTGCATGGCGAAAAACGAAGCTCTCTAGCTGCTTTCTATCAATAGTTATTCAAAAAATATCCACTGTTCTTGTATTTTGATACGGATAGTAGTCGTCCACAGCTCTGACCAAAAAGCTGGTCTGACGCAACGTTGGCTTCATTATTTGAGCACTCCACACACACTTACTGGCCATGTGCTACATTTCTAAAAGCCATGAAGGCTAACGGGATGAGCTGTATTGTAGGCAAGGGGGAAACAGTTGATTCTGGGATTTCGCCGATTTTCACCGATTATTTCCCGTGATTTGTTTGGAAATCAAGTAAAGAGACTGCGATTAATAGTGCGGAACCTGCTTTATTTGTATAAAATGGGAATCAGACACAGTGAAAGTAAAGAAAAAAACGATAAAATCATAAGCGAGTTTTAGCGATTTCTAACGATTTTTAGAGATTTTCGATTTAAACCGATTTTTTAAGCTAAAACATCAGCTGTTTACCCATTAATTGTAGGTCACAGCGACTATGCTATCGGCGGAGTGAATAAAAAGTATATATCTTTCAGATAGAAAATATAAAAACTTTTTTAAACGAACTAAAAGTAAAATTTTTCAACGCCTGTTTTGAGAAAGACTGAAAATATTGAAGTAAATAAATAAACTTACATTCATGCCCTCTCCAAGCATAATACTTTGTGGAATAACAAATATTTTCGATGTTAAATTAATTTGTGCATGTCCAAGTAAATTAATTAATAACACACGAAAGTTTGTGCCACCCAAATCTAACGCTAACACTTGACCAACTTCACTACCATCTGGCGTACTTCGTACATAAGTAGGAAACATTTTAACAACAGCGTTTTTATGCATGGCGGGTGATAAACCAGCATTCATTTCGTCTTCGAGTAAAAGCATAATTTGTTGTAAACTTTCATCGCTTATTTTCAATGATTCAAGCACTTTTTCAATCTGAAATATAACATTAAACAGTTCAATTATCATTATCAATTATCATCACTCAAGAGATGCTGTAAATTCAGATGTAATGATTGGTAAACGGGATCAACTCTCTTTTTCGTTTAATCTAGATATGAATTGAGAAACGTATTTCAAAGTGATACATTACACTCGTTAGATGCACATGTAGAAGTCTGTCGTATTGAGACATCTGTAGAACACAAACATATGTAATAATTTAATATAACGAGTGTTCCAAGAAAAATGGACCTCTCAGTATTTCGCCAATATTTCTGTCAATTTTGACTGCCAAAACTCGAACTTTCTTTTAAAAGGTCCTCCGTTCATCTTTCTACAAAAACTATACTGAACATTTTTTTTATACATGGTATAAATATAAGACTATGGATGAAGCGCTGCGAAGCTTCAGTCTCCATTTTAGGCTGAAAAATAATTTTTAATTTTTAGTCCTTTGTAACTTGCGATATAAGGCAAGAGAAAATAACCATTTTGTGGCCCTTTAAAAGCTCTATCAACTAGCCATATTTAAAACTTTTCATCATTACGATTGGTTGCGAGAGAATGCCTTTTCTTTCATTAATTATACCAAAAATCGTCGGTTTTAAACCTCAGTTTTGGAGTACACGGAATTTTTTTTATAAATCAGTTAAAATCGAACATTTTGACGCTGGGATTGTCTTAGCTTAAAGTAATATCGCTTGTTGTGCCACAAAATCACATTTAAAGCAAACCTATGATACACGAAACGAGAGACGACACTTCAAAGCCCCAGAGCATACCTTTTGTTCCCACTGTGATACATAGCATCGCATTGAAAATAAAAGTTTTTATATTGAGTTAGAAATTAATGGAGACTGAAGCTTCGCAGTGTTTCATCCATAGTCTTTTATTTATACCATGTATAAAAAATGTTTAGTATAGTTTTTGTAGAGAGTTGAATGAGGAATATTTTAAAAGAAAGTTCGAGTTTTGGCAGTAAAAATTGACAGATATTGGCGAAATACTGAGCGGCCCATTTATTTTGATATGTATAGGCCCAGTTTTTTACTTTTGTCATAGAATATGTATTGGTTTTTATTATAGAGTTCTTCAGTGAAACATTAGAAATTTTTTCTTTTTTAGTATGTAGCAACCGTTGAAAAACTTTTCTCTACTTGAAAAATGATATAGCCAAATTTAATCACACATCTCATAGTTTTTTAAGTTATTCTGATGAAAATTTGTTTTTTTTTGTATCATTCAGGAAAAATGCGGTTCATTCTAGATACAAATCAACTTAGTATTTCTGTATATTAAAAAATTTCTGTCTATGTATAGTATAACACTCGATATTAAATGCATTGTTTATTTTATTTCATTGTCAATTTTATACGTGCAAGCACGCAGAATTTTTCTTATATTTTTATTGCTAATAAATAATATAAATGCAAGCATTTCACGTATGCGATAAATGTGTCAAACTATCCTTCCTAAGATATGTTTTCTTTTTGAAATTTTATTGTAGAATAAGGAGGGGGGAGGGTTGGAAAGACTTTACTTTTTTGTGTAACTTTCGTACCAGCTTTCACATTTTCCCTGATAAATTTTGACACTTTGTTTTGGTTTAAAAAATAAATATCCAGATATTCTTTTTGAATAAATTTATAAGCAAAACTCCAAACTTTTCTTGATATGACTTTTCGTTGAGAGAGGGAATATTTTAGAGTGTATTCAAAAATATATAAGATGATTTATCAGATGAATTTCAAAAACAGCTATTGATCCATTCTTTATCAATGGCATTTTAACTACTACTGTACAAATTTGACTAAATACGCTAGAAAAATCGTAAACATCTGTATTAAGTGATACGTTTGTTAATATGTTTAGGTGATTTTCATGTAAAACGAAAATATTTTTTATTCACTGGAAAACCGTGCAGATTTCTGTAACCATGCACAGAATCGTAAAAAGATTTTTTAATGCAGAGAAAATAACAAACCGTACACAGAACCTCGTCCTATGAAAATTTAAGCCATAATTAGGTTATTTCATTCACATTTATTAATCACTCAGAAATAGTTACAAATGCATAAAATTGATCACATTTTTTCACTATAATAATTAAGTGCTCTAGCCAGACTTCAAGTTAGTGGAGTAACCAGGGTGTCCGGGCGGCGCCCTATGTATTTTTGGAGTCATAAAGGGTAGTATGAATTTTTTCTAAAATCTAGATTTCCCTTTTCACCGGTGCCCTGGCATGCCAGGGCTTAGTTACACCACTACTTCAAGTGGGCCACATGGCAGATTTACTTCAACTGTTCTACCATGGATGAACGAACGCACAGTGAGTAGCCAGGAGCAGCTCTGATTACTTCTCTTATACTTTAGTATATAGTCTTCAAAATCCATAGTTTTTCAGATAAAATTCTTTTTTCTCACTTTTTTTCAGTAAAAATAACTGTGATATTTGTGAATAATGTATCGAACTGCAAAGATGGAATTATAACACAACACTAGTACGAAAAAGTTTTCATTTATGAAATGCATTAGTCTGCCAAAAGTTGAAGAAAAATTTTGAAAATAATATTTTCCTATGGAAGTTTTTTTCGCTATTTTATCCGAAAAAATTTTCTAAACTTTTGGTAATACATCGTGTCGAAAACAAAAAATCTTCTGAGATATCGAGTGTATCGAATACGAAAAGGCACTTTCCGTGACTCTAAATGAACTTTATTTTTTGTTTCTTTGCATCTAACCCGAGCGAACGTGTTTGCATACGAATACTTGTCTAGGTACTCGCAAGTTTTTTGCAACGTTCCTAGGACAAGTAAATCAGGTCAAGTACTTGACTAAACACTTGTTCAAGTCACCCGCGAGTACTTCCTAGAGGTCGCATAAGTAAATCAACTTTTTGAAACTATTTTTAGATACTTAGACAAGTAATTACTCAGCGGCATCTTACGAAAATACTTGTCATGTTTATGTAACTTTTATCAAGTGCTTGCTAAGTATTCACAGAAATTCAATGGTGATTAAGTACTCGCACAATGAGAAAATATTTGCCGGAAAATTTATTTAACCTCACAATACACTGAAGGCCCCGGTACGCCCCTGAAAGCAACAAAGTATTTTTTTATAAAAATTTTGAATAAATCGAAAAGGAAGCTGTGTATGCAGAAGCGACTGCTGGTGGCATCTATTTCTATATTTATTAAATTTCTCTTTTATTTTAACAAATTTTAATAAAACAGAAAAAAAAAGTCATAGTGGGATTAAACTAAAATTTTCTCTTGTTTCTAACGCTGATTTCTTCACGTACTTTTTAAAAAAGGCACACGTTGGCCATGTTTCACATTACAATCATTCATTTCAATCGCAGTATGCCAACATAAAGGACGTCGTTACGATTCATTCTTACCACGGAAATTTTGCTACCATATATATATATGGTATATGTAACATAGTTCTTATTATATGACAATGCTTAGAATTTTTTTCTTTCTTCAATTATACACATCAGCTGAGCACAAATAAGGTGCATGGCTATAAGAAACGTGATAAAACACGTTCCTAAGGACGTCAGAGTCCTACCTATGCTCGAAAATATTATAAAAAGAAAAAAATTGTTTTTTACTAATTTATCTACTAATTTCTTTTCACGTGTGTCCACACACCGTTTTACACCTTTCACTAATCCCAAGCAAAAGAAAAAATCGATAAGCTAGCTAAATGTACCGCATTACCTAGGTTGATACCGAGCTTATCGATTTTTTCTTTTGTTTGGGTAGTGACCACGTTCGAAAAATATGACACGAAAAGTCTCCGTCAGCAGTTCACGCATTGTCACAAGATGAATATATTTTTTATACGTGCCCACACACACCATTTTACAATGTTCACGTGTAACCACAGTTCATTTCACGATATTCACGAGTGTACACGCCGTTTTATATACTAAAATTTCCCCATGGGCAAGATGTGGTCATTTAAGGAATCAATGAAGGCATTATTGTCATCAAATGCGTTTTTACGTATATAATCAATGAAACGCGTGGTAACTACATATGTATGCCGCAGACACTATATGTTTATAAGGATAGAATCAGCATTTACTGTTTCTTATAACGAGAGCCACAATCAATATACTATAGTATATTGATTGTGGCATATATGCGCAAAAAACAGATTATCTTCTTTTATTGTCGCACTCGAATTAAGTGAAGGCGAATGACATTTCAAAGCAAGTTCAAAAGAAAAGCATGTCATCACTTTAATAGTTGTTTCATAATTCCTTGTTTTCAGTAACCAAGTAGCACTTGGATCTTTCGATTTCTCCTTCGCAAATAAGGCATACAGCTTTCACTCTCATGTCTAACTGGATTAATAGCATCTTTCTAGTCGTATTTCTTTCATGCGTGTGAAAACGTTGGAAAATCATGAAAATGGAACCCTTACCTGATCATTTGACTCTGGATGCCGATTTGTGACCAAATATTTTTGGGGTGTTGCAGCACGATAACCGGCATAAGCTGCTAAGCCGATAACAAACGCTCCGGTCAGTGCGTAACCCATTTTTCGTAATATTGAATCTAACGCTGAATCACCACCATTTAAAAGTGATAGTGTTGCAACTGACATTGATACTATTATACTATGATTTGTTTTATCACATAAAATAACAATGTTTTCTGTTACTTCTAAAACAGATTAAATCTCCACACTTAAGTAAAATCTTTTATCGATCAATTTTCTATTTTGTTTATATTGTTGTACAAGCACATGTGCTGTATGCGTTGAGTTTTGTAGTTGAAAATACGAAACGGTAAAAATAATTGTATCGTTTATATATGGTCGCCCGTATATGCAGTTTTAACTCTTATTCATTTCGAACTACTCGTTCTGTTTCTCATCTGTGTAAGAAGAAGAACATTTCTCTTTCTTTTTTATTTCTCTTTTATTTCTTCTTTTTTCCACAGTGGATAATAATAGTTTTTGTGTATTTCTCTATACGACGATTATGTTCTTTAGTTGTGCTTGATTATATAGTACATATGAGAAACTATTTTGTTATGATTTTCCTTAAAAAGAAATGAAAATAACACGCGACATCAGTATGTCAATGATACTCGTCTACTTATGAACAAAAATGGCGTCCTAGCAAAACTTGATCCTGGTGTGAATTGAATTAATCACATTCTTTTCAATGATCATCTTTCTCAAGTTTTAACTAAAATCAGATCGAATCCAAATCAGCAATATGATTCTTTAATCTTTCTCGGTGATTTGAATTGTCATTGAGACCAATAATGTCCAACAAAACCTTCGACAAAAGGTGAGGATTTTTTTGATTCCTCTATGAGCGGAACGAGGGCTTCAGCTAGTCAACAAACCGACTAGAGAAAAATCACAGACGTGTTTGAATTTGGTTTTAAGTAGTAATCTAAACTTTATTTTCTATCTAAGGATTGACAGTTCACTCTGTTCTACATGTGATTCCATTGTTGTTTTTAATTTTTCTTCTACGAAACACTGACATTTTACCTGTAGACGTCAAATCTATGATTATAAGTTAACAGACTGAGATAACTATCGTACTGAATTGAATAAAATTGATTGAACCCAGTTAATGAATCAAATATCAATCACTTCATGAACAAGTAATGGCTTTGTCAAATCAATTCCTTCAAATCGCAAATACAACAATTGTGAATAAGGTTATTTCTCTTTTTTCACTTCAGATGCTCCTTAGTACAATGACTAACTCAGAAACCTGTACAGGAAAAAACAAAGATAATCAGTTTTATAAATTAATTTTCAAGAAAAACGAGAATTAGTGTAGAAAAGCGAAAGATAAATACTATTCACAATTATATGTGACTACAGATCTGTAATAGTCTGTGTGTAAATAATTCGTCAAAGAACTAGTGGTCTATGGCGAAGAACGCCCTCATAAAACGTAGATATGAATCCTTCATGGTTCTTGCCGATTCTGTGACTGGTGTTCTCCTAAATCACGCTCGAGAAAAGGCTTAGATCCTCAACAGACATTTCTCTAAAATTTGTTCAGTAAGTAAACCTATAAATCACACTTTCCCAAAATTAGGTGATCCAAAAATTGTCATGTCATCATTCACTCTATCTGATATTGAGATATACGAATCTGGCGATATCCATTCCTTTAATAATCATCGTCCAATAACTCTATTTTATTCAGTGTCAAAAGTCTTCGAGCGACTCATTTTTAACAGAATTTTTTTGTTGCGCAAAAGTTAATTTATAAAAACCAGTAAGGTTTTTTACCATGACACTGAACACTAGGTCAATTAAGTATTTTTTATGCTATAATAGATTTACTTTCCATTAATAACAGTTATTACAATGACAATTACTAACAATTATTATAAAAAACACTAATAAATAAAAACTAATCAATGAAAAGTAAATCCGAGGAAAGTAACTCTTATAAACCATTTAACTTGTAGAGAACTCCAATTGTTAGTAGTTGAAAAAGTTAAACAAGTTTAGTTTAGATTTCTTTGACATAGAAGGTGTATTTTAATTAAAAATATGTGTGAGTACTGATATTTGACAAATGATACTACATGCTGCTTGTGATTTTTTTATCCGTTGAAATTTCTATTCCTGGGTAAACACAATTTTTAACATACTATAAATTTTGTGCAAACCCAGAATATTTTTCACTGGCTTTTATTAAGTATTATAAGCAGATCAATAACGAGAATAACGTAGGGCTTTTTATTATTAAGAGAATATTGATTCAGCATTTTTCAAAAAAGGCATAACAGTACTGGAAGCCTACGTGATGCTGTTGGCTTCTAGAATAAACTTGAACTGTCTCGCAACCTTGTGGAAGAAAACCTATACCTTTCATACGTATATTAATGGATTTTCTTGATATCCTTTACGAAATTTCTGTTGGTGGAAAGTTGACCTCTCCTATACAGCAGCTTAACTGATACTCTTTCGATTTATATACTCTTTTACTATAGATACTCTTTCTTTTTATTTATATAGTTGAACAATTCTTTGTAATATAGATGCAGCTGTTACATAGAACTGCCTTGTGTTGTAATTGCATAAACATATAAAGTGTAAAGTGATTTTTTTCTTCATAAATGATGACGTGATAGATAGAAGAGCAAGATTTCTATATGTGAAACATATACACATATCTCTTCAGCTTTTCTCAGAATTAAATATGAAATGTTTCAGAAGGTCACTTTTACTCGTGTGAGATATCGCATGCGGTTTAATATTTTCTGTCTTCGAAAACGTTTTCCGTAGTAAAACTTATCGGCGAAAAATCCACATTAGTGCCAAATCCGATTTAATCCGTGCAAGACGGTGGGAAAACTGCATTCGGATGACACTTTCTGCAAATCAGATTAACTTTTCTTCCGGAAATGTTTTTCCAAATACAAGTTAGTGCTGGTCTAAAACATTTTCGTATTTCACGACCGCAAAAGTACCAATGTTTCAACTTTTCAAAAAGGAGAAAGTTCACATTCTATGTATTTAGCCAGCTTTAATTTTTATATTAATCTGTTTAATATACCATATTATCAATGAACGACAAGATCAATTCCGGAAAAAAGCATTTTTTTATTAAATTGTGGACATAAAACCAAAGTGAAACGTTTCGTTCTTTGAGTAATCGTAATTCAGGATTGTAAAATAAGAGGTCTGATCTCGGTGACAGACCTAACTACGTAGCTGTCCCGAAAAGAAAACACTCCAACTGAAATTCGAGTGTTATTCAATGACGTTAATTCTAATTTTAGTACTAATTTATTCGAGGATACAAATTCTATTTATGTTGATTTAAATCAGCAATGAACATAATTTTTTATTAAGATTTTATATTTTCATGTTACCTGTTTCTTCTTTCTTCATAGAACCGAAATATCATACATTTTTCCTATGCTTGTACGTAAATTGTGATGTTTTTCTGCTCCTTGTAAATGCGAATATCATAGTTCATCTGGGCGCCTTATTCAAGAAAAAGGGAAATTAAAGATAAATTTAAAATAGAACTTGATCATACATTCTGTTGAACTATCGTGACTCGAAGAGAAAGCCGGAAAGTCATGGTGGTGGACACACCTACTTCTTGATCCCCAGATAGAAAAATATTTTGATGAAAATATAACACTTTTTCTAATCTTGTTTTATTGCATAGTCTATAGCCATGTGCATATAAGAAAAATGAAAAGCAGTGGGATCAAAATGAAGTAAAAATAAAAGCGCTACATTTGATCTCTATAGTTGAACTATATTTTACCCTTTCTTTGCCTATAGTGCCAATATGCTGTCAAATTCCCATTTGATGTTGTTTCTGTTCTGTAACTAAGCAACGATAGAGGAATATTGTTACTCAAACTTTGCTCAAAAACAAACAAGTGAAGTCTATAAACTGTATAGAATATTTTGTATAGAACTGCCACGAAATATATTATAGATTTTAACATCTCATTAATTTATTATCGATTTCCAGCTTTCGACATTGTTACTAATGTCATCATCATAGGAAACAAATGTGAAAATGAAAGAATAGCTATATATAGTTATTCTTTCATTTTTTCACACTTATTTCCTGTTGATGATATTAATAACAAAGTTGAAAGCTCGAAATCGGTAATAAATTAATGAGATTTTGTTAAAATCTATAATGTATTTCGTAGCAGTTCTATCCAAAATATACTATATAGTTTTCACTACTGCTCTTCCACCAACCTAAAGTCTACAAATATACTTTAAACCATTAGGGATCATGCTAGCCTGTCTTTTTTCTGAAACAAGTACTTGAGTTCAACAGGGCCAGGTTCAACGAGAATACGCGTTACTTATTTAACGCCACATATAAGCAGAAATATCTTTGCAATCATCGAGACTTCAAAGGGAAGACTTTCAGAAAATCTCTATCGACCAAGAAACTTTCATGGCTTGAAGATTTGATCCGTTAAAGTTTAAGTATTGATAAATTATAGAAATATTTAGGTGTACTATGTTACCCCACTTTTTTTTTTTCATCATAATTGTGAAAGTCTTTTTTTGACAAACAGAAAAAAGATTACATATGAAGACTTTCAATTCCAATCATCAATTTTAAAAAAAGCAACCTCCATGTCTTGTCATCCAAGACAAATAATATGAATGTTCTATTAGAACAACATTAAATTAAAAAAAATATTATATACATACATTATATACATATAATATTTTTTTTAATTTGTAACAATAATTTTATTTTTACCTACCATAAAATTAATAACAGGGGAAGAAAGGCTGATAAAAGGCTGAGTTGATTAATAGTGGTTATAAGCAATCGAGTAAAAAGTTTCGACAATCTTATTTTACATTAAATCATGGTTTTTCGATAACTCTCCTCCAGTTTTCTCCAGATTTTATTTAATTTGTATGAAAATATTTTAGATAAAATAATACTGCTATATACGAACTTAATATGGCGAATTTAACGGCAAAACAAACACGTGAACTACAAGATGCATTTAATTTGTTTGATAGTGGTAAGTTCAAAACAGTCTTCAAATTTGCCTACAGTGTGAGCAAAAAATATATGAAACTATTATCCTTTTATCATCAACTGGATCAATTCAAACATTTTTAATAACTCCTAAACGAAGACAGATAGATAATTGCTTTTGGAAAAACATTCATGATAAAAATCGAATAGTACGAAAACTGAGATTTCCAAATTATTTTTACCACAATTCACGCAAAAACCATCAGAACGTGATTTAACGATTGAAAAAATTGAAATCCTTACTTTTGTCCAAAAGTGTTTTAGAAGTCGGTTCGAAAATCATAAGATTTTGTAAATTTTTGTAGCTTGTACTTCTATAGATTTATCATTACTAGAATATAGAATAGCATAACTATGCCACATCCTGAAGTCATAGGTGTAGTTCCAAAATCGTAGGACTAGATAGGTTCGTAAAATTGACCGGCAGCCCCTTTAACATTCTGCTCGCAGATTCTGAGTCCCTTTTAGCTTCTAAAATTTCCAAAATTAGCTTTCCCGACTCAATTTTCGGTGGAAAATAAGAAATAAGTGGTTTTGAAATTTCGAAACGCGATCAAACATGAAAACTTCAGTGTTTTTCCCTGCAATTCAAAAGATCAATATTTTTCAATTTTTTCATCCAAAAATAATCTTGAAAATCTTAAATTGCCCACGATAACGAGTAACACCGAAAATGACGGTATCAGAACTGACAACAGTCAGAAAGATTTCCTGCCCAAGCAGGCAACGTTCGGTCCACCTGGGCCCGCCGATATTTTTCGACTCTACGGAACAATGTCCAGTAGTCTAAAAATCCTGGTTATGCCATTGCCTGAAATTTTCAACCGGTTCTGATGCTTTTTGAGTGAATTGTGGTGAAAAAAACTTAGAAGTTCCAGTTTTCGAACTACTCGATTTTTATCAGGTTTTTGAATTCTTTTCCAAAAACCAAACATTATCACCAGGTTTAGTATGGTCGATTACGTATGATGCATGCAATTTCCAGATAACCCTAAACCAGCGAATACTAGTCCTGAGGTAATTCGATACTACGCCTGAATGACTAAAAATCAAGATCTTTTACTCCCTTATTTTGAGGAGCACACTCTGGTCTGCCTATCCAGGGTATGATACTAATCGCAAAGAAAATTACTTCATAATGAAGAAGCCATTGATGTAACTTTGCTTATTATTTTCATTAAGATCATTCTGGCAAAATATCGAGAAAAGAGTTGAGAAAAGTTTTGAATGCACTCAGTATACAAGTAGATGAAACTGAATTGGCACAATTAATGAAACAAATGGATTCAAATAATAGTGGTGATATTGAATTTGATGAATTTTGTCAGGCAATGGGTCAAATATTTTTTAAAAAACACACTCGACAAGAATTGGAAGCAGCGTTTCAAAAATTCGATACAGATGGTTCAGGCTATATAACACCCAATGAATTAAGTCATATTATGGCTCGAATGGGACGTAATATGAAGAAATCTGAAATCGAAGCAATGATTAAATCAATGGATACAACTGGCGATGGAAAAATATCGTTAGATGAATTTGTTGATATGTGCAATCAATAGTCGACCTACTTAGAGATAACTTTTTTGTTTCTATTTTGATTCTGTTTAATGTTCAAAGTTCTTTTAATCGCATAATAGAGTTTTTATTTGTTTATGTATTTTCTTGACAAGAGTCTAAGTGAGTAAGGAAATTTTCTCAGCAAATCGATTACAGCCTGAAAAAACGTAGTAAAAAGTATCCAGTTTTATTATTTTGAATAAATATTAGTACTTAACCATTTAAATGTTGAAGCAAAAGCTTCGCTATGATTTATAATGATAACTGAATGACGCTTGCTTTTATTTTTAATGCGAATTTGCTACAAAATGTTCATTAGTTATTTTTTTTATTTCGATAAAACCAACGATTATTGTTCTAAAAATACATTTAGTGAGCGTGTAAACGAACTTCTCGGAGAGAATGCGGCTGAACGCATTGCTTTCAAACACATTTGATATAAGTTTTATTCTTTCAGAGTAGAACCAGAAAATACGAATGCAATATTCTAAACCGAAACTATCATAAAATACAGAATCAATTCTGTATTAATAGAAATTCAAGCACGATGTTTAAGGGACATCCATCCCTCCCTCTCAGAAATTATCTCCGATGCCGTACATCCGATTTTGACCAAACTTTTCGTAAATGTAAGATTTAATGAATTACGGGAATGAAAAAATTTTTGTCTCTAAGTCTTACGGCTTAGGAGTTTTCCAGAGATCAAGGTCCAAAAAGGACCCTAAAGTTTTTCCCAAGATTTTTTAATATACTTCAGGCTGAAGAGTTCGGGTTTATTTTACTAAGTATTTTTAGATAACTAACTATATGGACTGACCTGTGCCGATTTTTCACTTACGCCTTTATTGGTTTTCCAGGCAGTTACAACCGCCAGAATCCGAAAAATCCTTCCGGATTTCCTAAAAATCCAAGACAAAAAACTAAGATCTAATTCAAAAAATCCGTGCCCATCAGTTCATGTCTTTTCTTTTCCTTTTTTAAACAAAAAAAGAATAACTCTCTACGATAAACCGCTATAAAAAATCTTGGGAAGCACTTTAGGTATAACTTCCATGTAGAGAAAACGCTATATAAAATGCTCAGCTTTAAGACTTATAGGATAAAAAATTGTAACTTTTTGATGCAAGGTCACACAAAGTTGCGCAAGGACTTATTTTGATCAGAAAAGTTTGCTCTACAAACCGGTGCGTTCAGAAAAAGATTTAATTGCATAAGTATCCAGGAAGAAGCTATTATTTGAAGACCGGGTTTTTGGAGCTCCTAGAAAACTTGCTCGAAAGCCGCGAAAAATCACCTATATAACCACTTAATACTTCATAAAAAAATAATAAGCAGCATTTAGTATCTTTGTCGTATATCAGTTCTCACACATATTTTTAATTAATATACACCGCTAAAACGTAGTTTTCTCACAAAGAAAGAAATTTGAAATGAAATTAAGTAAAATGACTTCATGAGTTTACTAATTCATATGCTACTTCTTTTTTCTCAGAAAACGCACTTTTCCTAAAAAACCTGGAAACTCTTCACGGCTTTGTTAACAAAAAAACATGAAATGAGCTTGAAAAAACAGTTTTTATATACCAGTCGATAGACTGGACGGGGAAGATCAGATGAGAGCTACTTTGGTCCATTTTGAGAGTAATATAAGAAAACACAGAGGATTATACTGAATTTAAGTTCACGCTAAAGATAATTTTTCAAAAACATAGTGATAAGTAATAAATAGATTTCAGAAGAACTACAGCAAAGCCATAAGTCGAAACAAAACAAGCAGAGCTTCAGTAAATGGCACCGAATTGTAAAAAAATTCTAACTTGGATGTCACCTTATTTTCATGCATGAGCAGTACCATTGACGTTCGGTGACATCTCCCTATGATACATTGTGTACATGCTTCTCTGTAGAGGTGGCATTCGATAATACTATATGAGTTTATTTTTTAGCCAACAACAATTCCATTTATTTCTTCTCCTGGCTTTTCCACTATTACTTCAGTATATACTATAAGGTTCAGATGATCGTATTACGGGAAGTTTTAAGTCAGGCTTAAGCCTTAACCGAGACTTAAGTCACAGTTAAATCCTCATCTCAAATTCAAACCGTATTACAAAAAGACTTAAGTCATGGGAAATGTAGTCTTAAAGTTAAGACGGAAAACTTAAGTCAGGCATTTAACGATACGATTCGACGAAACTTTTTAAGAAGATTTAGAGAATAAATATTTCGTTGTTTTGCGGGTTTTTGTCCCAAGTTTGTCACTGTTTTCAACGCCTTTCAGAACGTAAACAAATCACGAACTTAAGTCTTTTCGTAATACGGTTTAAGTTCCTGGACTTAAGTCGGTCTTAAATTTAGACTTAATCACTGCTTAAGCCGATGACTGATGTTTTTTTGTAATACGATCCCCAGGTCAGCAAAATGTATCGAAGGAGTCTAAAAAAGTTAACAAAATCAGTACGACTAAATTTTCTGATGTTTCTCAAAATTCAAAGTAATTGTGGAGTGTACTCAACCGAGTTTACTCTAAATATGAGTGCAGATGGAAAAAACATTCTGTTAAGTTTTTCATTTTGAAAGGAACAAAATCACTAGATAAAAGGTACTTATACAGATTAATCACACACTCACACCCCACACGTGCCACAGTAGGGGGTGTGATCGATCTATAGAAGGACCCTCGATTTTTCATCATCATCCTTTTTACGTAGAATTTGACGCATTTGCAAAAAGTACAGAGCAATGTGTGCATATTAAAACGATGCTAAAATGAATCGAAGAAAATCTAAAACGTATTGTAAAACTCCCACATTACATTGTTTTGAACTGCTATAGATAATGTTTTTTTATTCTATCTTCTAGATTTAATATTTCATACCAAGCATGAATAAATCAATAGTGTTACTGAGCTTTTCATTATTGAAATGTTTCTTTTTACTCATTATGCTCACACATTTAGTAACAATTTTAATGGGCGCACCATTAATTCAAGATTTTGAACGAACGTTATTTTTCAGTTTTTATGTTGTTCTATTAGGTTTTACACCATCGATTATATTTTGTAAAGGACAACTTAGGTCATTAATGCAATTCTTACTCGATATAGACAAATTCGATATGAGTGTTAAACAAGTGAATTACAAGAGCAAATATTATTTTTTATATAAAAATTTAGCCTATGGTACGGTTATTGGAGCCTGGTTAGGCGCTTTTCCAATCCCGCTTGACTGGGATCGCTGGTGGCAACGTTGGCCCATAACTTGTGTCGTTTCTTCTACAATAGGAACATTTATTGCGTTAATTTATAGTTTTATTTCATCATTTTACTATTCCAAAATTTTACGGAAAATGAAAAATACTCTGTAAATATCAGCTGTTTTTTTTACGTCCATTTTTTTAAGGAAGTGTAGTAAAGTGTTAGTTCTAACGGTTTTCATTTCATGCGACTTTTTCTACTATTATATCAAATGCGTCTTTACTTTTAAAATACACTTTTCTTGGCATGTTATTATAGATCAACCTAATCATGTTTAAAGCAATTAATAAAATATTGTATCGATCGTATTATGCTAATCCCGATAAATTTATGTTTCGTTCAGCAGTTCTTGCTAGTATTGTTACATTATTATCAATTATATATACTTACAGAAGAGTCAGTAAAAAACAACAAGCTGAAACAGGTGTTTATGATGATGATGATGATGATAAACGTTTCCTCTTTTCTAGAAAACAAAAATTTAATTTTTCTTTATTATTTCAGGAATTGTGCCAGTTAACGTAACAGAATTATTCTTAGAAAAACGTCATCTTGCAAAAATACAACATTTAGAATTGCAACGAAATATAGCAGCACAAGCAAAGTCATATAAAACATAAACAGTATTTTGTTTTCTATAATTGTCTAGTTTTTAGAATTGATTTTTTTTCTTGTGTACTATTTTTGTCCTTTTGTTTTTGCATATATATCAAGTAAAATAAAGTTTTACAATTGTAAAGGTACCTAATGTAGGTATTTCATAATTACAGTTTTCATTTCTTCATGTATGTTGGATAAGTGACAGAGATGGGCGAGTACGCAGATTCTCGAGTACGAGTACTGGACATCGAGTACGAGTACGAGTACTGGGCGTCGAGTATGAGTACGAGTACTGGGCGTCGAGTATGAGTACGAGTACGAGTATTTTCTAAAAAGTACTCGAGTACTTTTCAGAAAATACTCGAGTACGAAATTTTTTAAAAGACGAGAATACTCAAGAAAAAAGGTTTAGCTGCCTAACAATGGCCATTTTCAATATCTTTCTGGCTATCAGTTGAAGGAGAATTAGGTTCTACTCTTAGTTTTTTTATTTTACTGTTTATTATTTATTTGATTTACTTTATC